CCAAGCCTCTGGCTTGTACCTAGTTCTTGTATGCATAAATTAATAAATCTTTTTTTTTTTTTTTGAAAAGAGGTTGTGAGGAGTAAAATTCAGGGAATAATGTTTGTGAAATCATTTGGGAAAATGCTGAGCTCTATGAACACATTGTTGTTGGTAATTTTATTGCCATGGAAGAGAGAAAGCACCTTCCACTAGAAGTGGACATCTAGACCCTTGGTCTCAGTGACTACTTGACTTTCCAGCTGTAACACCATGCGAATGGCCGGGACGCTCTGCAGGTATATCAATTTCTTGAAAATCAAACAGTGCTCCTCCTTCCCCCAGGGAATGAAGAGGGAGTTGTCATAGCTCAAGTTTAAAGATCCAATGGGGTGACCCCCTTGCCACAAAGTATCCCTCCATTCACTAATACCTGTGCAGGGGAGGGGAGGGTGAAACCAGGATGAGGGAGAGGTTGGCCTCCTCCAGGAGTTCACAGGGCTGGAGCTGGGCCTCCAGGAGGTCACAGGGCCTGCCTGTTCTGGAGGGTGCTCTCCTCCTCTAGGGCCCTCTGGGAAGCATCCTGGGGGGCCTGAAGTGAAACTGGTCCCAGAATTGAGTGCAGTTTCTAACACATCAGTCTTTGTGGAAAAGAGGAATTACAAGGTTCCAAATAGCAAAACTTATTAGTCAGCTATCCCCATTTCAGATAAGAGGTTAGGGGAGGGAAAGAGAAAATAATATTCAAAATAATTCAATTCAAAATAATATAACTCAGTCTGGGGAGATGTCCCTTTCTGGAAAGGAAGCTCAATCTGCGTGGAGTGGGAGGAAACTAGACAGAGTGTGACATCGGAGCCCAGGCTTTGAGCACGGGACATGGGGAATTTGGACCGAGGGGGAGTGTGGTTCTGAAGGAAGGTCCGGAGGGGGTTATCGCGGGTTCAGGCCCGCGTGTCCCCGTTCCCCAGCAGGCAGGTGAGGGCTGCTTATGTAATCGGGGCGCCTCGCGGGCGACCGGGGAAACTGGAAGGGGGAGCCGGGCCGGGGCTGACTGCGAGCTCCTGGAATCCGCGCTCGGGCGTTGGCTCAGCCTCGCGGGACACCGGGGCCCGCCCTCCCGCTGCGGAGCCCGCGCGGGCGCGGGGCGACTCCCCAGCCTCCTGAGCCCCGCCATCCCCGCGCTGGAGCCCGGCGGCCATCAAGCAGCGCCGCGGGGAGCCCACCGCGTCCGCCCGCCCCAGCCCTGCGGCCGGCTGGGAGGCCCAGAGGGAGGACCGGTCACAGCCCTGGAGCAAACCCGGGGTCTGGCCTCCGGGGACATCTTCACTTCCCTTGACGCTGGATGTCCAAATCCATCACCCCTTTACATTTTCGGGGTCACCCTGGAAACAGGGGCGGTGCTTCTCAGAAGGCAACATGAAAAGTGATGGAGATTTTGGTTGCGGGTGGTGTGGTGAGGGTGCGAGGGGAGGATGCATCTGGTCGGGAGATTAATTTTGGTTTCTGAGTATAAGAAAGTAGAAAAGGCAAACAGATTTGCCTTTGAAAGAAAACTACATCCCCTCCCACTCCAGGCTAAACCAATCTTTGGTGAGAATCGAGGTCTTTTCAGCATTTTTGAAACACCTCTGGATTCTGAGTCAGATTAATTCCCAGATATTGACCGTGGAAGATCACGCTTAGATGTTTCCTAGTTTTTTTGAAGAGTCGACTTTCTTTATTATGGGCATTTTCAAATATGCATAAAGTAGAGAAAATAATATGACCATCTTGTGTACCTATCAGTCCCTTAATAGTGATCAAGTTTGTTTCATCAATTAAACTCCCATCACCACCACCCCTCCCTTGTCCCACTATTTCATGTTTTTTCTTCCTAAAGGAATTTCCAGACATCATATTTCATTGGTACAAACTTCAGGGTGCAAAAACCTCCACTTTTAAAAGTACATCACTGATGACATCTTACAAATGCACAATTCCTTAAATAGTGTTCAAATGTCTCATACTTTAATATTGAAACACAATTATTTTGTTCAAATCAGAATGCAAACAAATCCACTATTGCATTTAGTTGGCTTATCCTTTAAGTTTCCTTTTAATCTGTGTATTCCCTTTCTTCTTTTTCCCCTGGCAATTTAGTTGATGAAGGAAATGTGTCCTTTGTCCTGAGGATTTCCCCAAACTTGGATTTGCTGATGGCATTTCTGTGGCATTGTTAAGGTGATTCTCATAGATCCAGAATCCTGATGAGTTTCAGGTTCATTATTTTTGGTAAGTTTACATCAGGTGGTTACCTCCTGTTGTATTACACTGGAAGGCAGGTAATGTTGGATTGTCTCTTTTTGTTAGGATTCATCAGTGGGTCAGGTGTTGTCAGCCTGATTCATTATTATGCAATTCCCTGACAGCTTTTTACATAATGTTTCTAGCTGCTGTTGATGAGTATTGCTTAGATTCATTATTTCATTAGGTGTTATAAAAGTGATGGTTTTTCATTTATTTATTAGCTGGAGTTTGTAATAGGGAATCCAACCTTTAACCATTTGGTTATCCAAGATGTATTTGTACAAGAATGGTAGCATAAATACTGAGTCTTTCTTTTTTACTAGGGTTCAGAAATTTGGGTGGGTTCCTAGCATCCTCCAGAAGTGACTAATAGTTTACTTTTTAGTTATCATAATGAACTGATGGAATTTTTAAAAATACATTTGATGTGTTTCATTCTACTGCAGTTATTATCCTTATTGACACTAAGTGTTCCACGTTTGATCCTTCAAGTTGGCTCCTGAGTAATTTTTTACATAATCCCAGTAAATTTTCTTACACTCTGGTGTCGCAAGATGTTCCAGAATATTTTTTCCCAGATCTAGAATTAGCCAGTAGTTCTCCAAGGAGCCATTTTATTTTCAGTGGGAAATATTATTTAGAGTGTAAGCAACACTCGCTTAGTTTACCCAGTTCGGCCATTACTGTTAGGTGTTCTTTGTGAACAGAGCTAAAAATTACATTTCGCTATTTTTAGGAGGAAATGCATCTGAATTTATACTGATTTTCCAATTCAATTTTGGACTTGGTTACTAATAAGGAACTATGTTTTTATTTCTATTCTTTTTATGTCATCTCCACAAGAGAAACCCTAATCTTTTTTTAGGTTGAAAATCTGTTCCTAGTAAAATTAATGTAATCACATATGTTTGCTTTATCCTACTATGTGTGGCTGTATATATGCATACACATAACATAGTATATGCAGAATGAAAACAATATTATTAAGATTATAATTGAAAATTTTCACTTTTATATGCAATTCTCTTTTGTTATTAGAAGTCAAAATACTGGGCCTCCCCTGGTGGCGCAGCGGTTGAGCGCTGGGCTACGAAGCTGCCGCAGCCTCTGCAGCTCTGGTTCAATCCATGGCCACCAGCAAGGGTCCCACATGGAGCGCAGAACTCTCCTGCCACGCCCACTGCTCCCCTCAGCAGTGTATTTAGTCAGTCTGCCTGTTCTGTTCCCTGCTCTGGCTCTGGTGAATTCTCTCACCCTCCTGCGCTTCTGAACTGTACCCAGTGCTTGTATAAATAAATAAATAAAAATGTTTAAAAAAAAAATTTACCTGTACCATTGAACAAGTTTTGTTCTTAAAAAAAAAGTCAAAATACTGTAGTTGTTGAAAGTGATTCTGGGTATTTAAGCTACCAACCACACACAGATTCATTTTGTCTTGTTTTAATTTTGTTTTCTTTTTTTTATTTTTAACATCATGTTCATTTTAAACAATATTTGCTTCCCCCCACCCCCTCAGGTGTAGTACCCATATAATTTCCTTCCCCAATGCACCCATGCACCATCACCTCAGTCCCCTGTGCTCCTCCCTCACCCCTTGTTTTAATTTTGTTTTAGAATGATGTGAAACATTTACATGGTTCCAAATGTTCAAATCAAGGTATATTCAGAAAAGACTAATTTCCATCCCTTTCACTCAGTTGCTTCCATCTCCAGCGGATGACTGTGCTGATAAGTTTTGATTCATCCTTCTCTTTAAAAATATAAACAAACAAATGTATATATTTACATTCCCCTTAGGTAAAATGGCTCATACTATGTGCACAATCCCCCATCTTCATTTTTTCATTTAATATATTCCAGAGGTCATCTTATAATACATGATTTTACTTATTTGCAAAATGAAAAGAAGGTGCAGAGGCAGCTTTAGCTGAGTCTTCTGTAGAAATGATATCCAGGGTCATATTTTTCAAGTCCCCAGGAAGGTAGAGGTACAAATGAGCCACGGTGGCCTTCAGGGTCACGGGGGCTTCAGAAAATGAGATGGAGGAGAAAGGGCTTTCTGGGATTGTTGTCCAGTCCCTGTATCTGCATCTCAACTAGGATGCAGTGGGATGCTTTCTCATAGCATGGTTTTCCACTATTGCAGGTTAAATTACAATTGAGTTCTTCCCAGTCTTGTCCTGTTACAAACAGTGCTCGTGATAGATTATGCTAAGCAAGATAAGCCAGAGGAAAAAGAAAATATCTGATGTTCTCACTTGTAGGGGAAATATAGGGAAACATAACAGAAATAAGGAAAAAAGAAAAACCTTGCCAGTTGACCCTAGATCTGAGGCTTACTGCAGGGGAGTGTGGTGAGGGCTCAAAAAGGGGAGAGAAGAGCCCAAGGGACTATGGCGATGGTCACGGGTGCCCTGTTGGTGGGAGAATTATGAGAACTACACCGAAGGGGAGAAATCAATACAGACGATGTAAGAAAATAAAATAAAACACAATGATTCTTTAAAAATCAAAAACCAACAAACAGTGCTACAGTGACTAGCCTTGTGTAGAATCTTCTCGTGTTCTCCAGGCTCTTTTCGACTTAGGCATATTGAGGGGAGGACTGAGAGAAGGAGGAAATTTTAAAGCCAGGCCAGAGGTGGGCCCGGCCAGAAAGCACAGGTGTGGCCTTCCCACATGATCCTGGAAGCCTAGCTGCACCCCTCCACCTGCTGGCAGCGCATCCCAAAGCCAGGAGTTAATGCGGAGGAAAAGGAGGGCAAGGCAAAGGAACAGCTTCAGGGGTTCAGGGTGATCCGTGTGCCTGGAAACAGAAGCCGATAAAAGGGGAAGACCTGTCCGGGAAGGAGGTGTGGAAGGTGTAGATGTGCGTGTTCGTGACGGCGTCGTAGAAGACGACCTCCCCGCACTCAAAATCCACGCAGATGCCCACTTTCCTCGGACAGGCGGGGAGGTCCTCCCGGGCGCCAGCCTCAGGAGCGCCTGGCACTCGGAGCCTGTTATTCTAAGCACCCAAAAGCCGGTCAAGGGGTCTATCACCAGAAAACCCTCCTGGCAGCTTGTCCCAAGGCCACGCCCACCATGCAGGCCCCGCCCCGGGCCCATCCAGCTGTGTCTCCCAGGTGTGGCGGCCTCTGGAGAGCCCTGGAAAGCCCAGCACGCAGCGGAATGGGTAGAAGCATTCAGGGTCTGTGGGCTCATCTGAGCTCTCCTGTTGGATGAAATCCAGCGTCGCTGTCTTCAGATCCGGAGAAATGATGAGTTCTGGGTGGGCTGTGACTTCATCAAAGGTCATGGGAACTGCGGGAATATGAGGAGAAAGAGGCTGCTTGGGCCTAGTTGCCCAGTCCCCTCCAGCTAGCTCCTCTGGGTGCAGTTGGAGGGGAGCTTTCTCCTCCTGGTCAACTACACTCTCCTTCCCCAGAGTACTGCCAGCCCCCACTGCTTGAAGTTATTCGGTATATTTCACCTAGTGCTGCTCTATGGGAGGAGAGAGGAGTGTCCTCTGGGGGTGGAGGGGCAGACAGGGGGCATCATTTCAATTCCCAAAGCTGAAATTATCTCTTTCCCCTTCCGTTCCTGTGGTTCCTGTTTCTCCCATCTAAAACAAGACTTGGAGCTAGCAGAAGGGATGTTGAGACTCAGACTTCCTGAGCTCTGGTCATTTTCAATGTGGATCCCTGAAAGACAGGGAAGAGTGGAAGGTTGGATTACTGAAGGCGGAATAGTCGATTTGGAATACCTCCCCACCTTTTTTCATTTGTATTTGGATGCCGAGTTTTTTCAAGACTAGACTGAGGCCCTTGTCCACCCTCTCCCGTGGGCTTTAGCAGCCCTAGTTCCAGGTTCCCCTAAAGACTCAGAAAAGGGAACCTAATTTTATCTTCTGATTTGTTATTTAATCATACTCTCTTTTTTAAAGATTTGTTTATTTATGTCTACAAGAACAGGGGTGTAGGCCAGAGGTGAGGAGGAGGGGGTGTGTGAGAGGATTCACCCGAGACAGAGTGGGGAACAGAACAGGCAGACTGACTGAAATACACTGCTGAGGGGAGCAGCGGGCAGGCAGGAGAGGTCTGCTGCGCCATGTGTGTCAATCCTCCCTGGCCGGGAATCGAACTCGTGCTGCAGTGGCTGAGGACAGCCTCACAGTGCTGTGTCTCAACCCCTTGCACCACCAGGGAGGCCCTAAACTCTTACTGCAATGTTAATTTTCTCTTGCTGGATAGGCGGACTTGGAAGGGATGGCCAGGTTGGATACAGGAACGAGGGGGAAAGGAGAGGGCGGTCAGGGTCATGGGAACGGGTTAGGTGAACTGTGATTCACGCTAGGGTTTACCCTCCTCTGGGCCCAGCTCTGTCTGCAGTCTGTGCCTGAGCTGCCAGAGTCAATGTTGGGGGGATGGGGACTTGTCCAGGGGAGGCAGCGACAGGAACTTCCTTTATCCACCAGGGGGCACCGCAGCCCAAGCAGGAGGAGGAGCCGGGCACAGGCGGGAGCGCGGGGCTCCCGAGCCACCTTCTCCTCATTTTGCTCAGACACCCGCATCCCCTCTCCAGCTTCACCAGCGCGCGCTCCCCCGGGCTGCACTCACAGAGCGCCTCCTTGAGCTCCGCAGGGCTCCACGCGGTCGGCGTCGCCACTGCTGTTGGGGTTAGGGGAACCAGGGAGGCTCTGCTCCGGGGAGGGACTGGCGGCGCCTGTGTCTGCAATCTGGGGCTGTGTGGAGTTGAAAGGTGGCGGGCCGGTACAGGTGGCCTAGGTGTTTCGCTGCCTTTGAGGGTGAAGGAAAAGTAAAGGGGTCAGTGGGCGCGAGGGGGCGATCATCCTCCATTGCCTCAAAGTGCTGCTGAGCTGGGACGCAGCAGGAGGGATGAAGGTTAGGCTGCAGAAAGCACCCCTGAACCAGTTAGTGGTGTTACTGGGGCGGAGGTATAATTTGGGAAGGAGTAAAGGAATTGGATGGCATGCCCCTGGGCCCACCCTTCTTGCTTGCCCACGCCTCTGGGAAGTCCACAGCCTTTCAGCTGCTTCTCCCAAATGCCTAGTCCTCTTCCTCTTGATTCAGCTTCCTACATTCCTCTTTCTGCTCCATCCCTGTTCCTCTTTATCTCAGGCTGGAACTGAGGGAAGTCATTCAGTCCTGCCTAGCTCTGCTCAGGGAGGATGATATGTGATAGGAAGTGAAGCCTCCTCCCTTCCCTGGCGGCCTCAGCTCCAGTGTTCCTGTCTGTGTTTTGGGTGGAGAGAGCATTTTGCTTACCTGGAGAATCCGAGGTCCCCTCGCTGGAACATGACACAGGAACCCCCAAAGACTGAGTATCAGGACCCTGAACTGGAGAGGGTGACTCAGGCTCTGAGGTTTGGTTTGTTTTAGGAGTATTAGTCTCTGACTGGCCATCTATGTCTTAGAGAGAGAAAACCAATTTTGGTACTGATAACCAGAAGCTGCAAATTAAAAACAAAGCCAAAACACTGACACTAAGAACAACAGACAAGGTGCTAGGGAGCACCCCTTCCCCCTATGGGGAAGAGTGGACACCTTTAGGATTGTTTCAGTGATAGCTGGAGAGGGTTGGGGAAAGTTCTGGCCTTTCTGGGACTCGGGAAGCGAAACATTCAACAGGGAACAAGGCAGGGAGAACAGTGGAGACTTCTTTGCAGACACCAATAGCTCCTCTCCCAGAGAAATGCTCAATCCTAAACCGCACTCTCTGGCTTTGGAATGCATTATGTCCTTTCTGACTTTGGTGGGTGAGTTCTCATGCTGTCTCTTCTCTTAATAGTCACATGATCTGGGTTGATTTACCTCACCTCCCTGGAGATACAGGGACGTGTGTGTGTATCTCTGTATAAACACCTTCCTTGAAGGATAACTTTGGGGGCTACAAATATCAGGTGTGAGGTATTTAGCAAATAGTGGATCTTTAAGAAATGGTATTTCCAGTGTAACCTCTCAGGTGGCAGAGCCTGGCCTGATAACTTTGGCTTAGGCTGCTGTTAGTGGGTCTCTGTCCCCAGTGGTCCTGACCTCACATCACAGGGGTTTGCCCACATGGCAGCTAATACTGCAGAGACTGAGCAACCTCTGCCTCCTCCCATCCTACCCCTTTCTCCCTTACTCTGAGGAATAAAGAAATACATTTATACTTTTCTATGACTTTTGAATACTTCAAAATTTTGCCAAAAGTCACTGTAACTATGAGTTAACTGACTTCAAATACAAAAAAATACCCTTACCCCTGTTCTTCTCAATTGAATGAAGACTAGGCATTCACCCACATCTAACTTTCATATAACTACAGATTGTCCCCCTTTGCTTTTCTCACTTTTCCCAAATGGCAGGAGCAAGCCCCAGTCCCCACTTACATTTTGTTATGTCCTTGTCACTCATGCCTTTCAAAAATTTGCTTCTATCTTTCTCCCCTTCATTCTTGAGATGTTCTGTGGGGAGAGAAAGGGATGAATGGAGAAAATCCGGAGTGGTTGAGCAAGAAATCCAGAATTTCATAGCAAGGCACTGATTTGCAGTAACAGAGAAATGGGAACTGGATTTTTCTCATATTCTTAGTGGACAAGAATGTATAAAACACTGAGAGGGCCTCCCTGGTGGCGCAGTGGTTGAGCACTGGGCTGTGAAGCTGCCCGCAGCCTCTGCAGTGCCAGTTCGATCCCAGGCTGCTGGTGAGGATCCCACATGGCACGCAGACCTCTCCTGCCACCTGCTGCTCCCCTCAACAGTGCATTTCGTCATTCCTTCTGCTTCCCTAAACTGGTTATCTAGCCAGCATTGCCCAGGAAAATATTATCTCAGCCACGAATACCATTTAAAATTTTCTAGTAGTAGGTACCTCTCCAAGAGTTCAAAAACACTAATTCAAAAGGAAACCTGAACTCCTATGTTTACAGCAGCATTCTTTACAATAGCCAAGATATGGAAACAACCTACATGCCCAGGACATAAATGGGTCAAGAAGATGTTTTACATATACACGGCGGAATACTACTTAGCAGTCTAAAGGATACCATGCCCTTTGTGGCATCGTGGATGGACCCAGAAGGGATTGTTCTACATGAAGTGATCCAGGAGGAGAAAGATAAACACCACATGGTTTCACATACATGTGGAATCTAGAGGAACTAAACAAAGGATCAGAAAAAGTCATGGTGTAAAACTGGCTCTTGAAAGCAGAGCACAGATCTGAGACAGGAGGGGAGAGGTTAGAGATGGAGGGGAGAAGAACACCATGGATTGCGGTGGAAGACTGTGGGCACTTTGGTGGCAGGAAAACTATGGTGATCACTCCTGAGAGGAGAAATCCTATATAGTGAGGAGAAATCCTATATAATGAAAAAGTAAACTAGAATGCTTAAAAAATGAAATAAAAATTTCTAGTAGTCACCTTAAGAACTAGTGAATTTAATATTAATTATAGATTGCATTTCACTCATCTTTTTTAAATAGCAATTTGGAGCTTTTCTTTTTAAAGATTTATTTATTTACACAAGAGCCAAGGTACAGACCAGAGGTGCGGGAGGGTGAGAAGATTCACCAGAGACAGAGCCAGGAGCAGAACAGGTGGATCTACTGAAATACACTACTGTGGGGAGCATTGGACAAGACAGGAGAGGCCTGCCTCACCATGTGGGTATCTCCCTGGCTGGCTGGGAATTGAGCCCATACTGCAGAGGCTGCGGACCACTTCACAGTGCTGTGCTCAACCCCCTGAGCCACCCAGGAGGCCCTTCACTCATTATTTTTTTGAAGATTTATGTATTTATACAAGAGCTGGGGTACAGGCCAGAGGTGTGGGAGGGTGAGAGATTCCACCAGACAGAGCTGGGAGCAGAAAAGGTGGATATGCTGGATTACACTGCTGAGGGAAGCAGCCGGCGAGACAGGAGAGGTCTGCTGTGCCATGTGGGTATCTCCCTGGCCGGCAAGGACTCGAACCTGCACAGCAGAGGCTGCGGACAGCTTCACAGAGTCATGCTCAACCCGCTGCACCACCGGGGAGTCCCTCATTCATTATTTTAAAAATGTTTGTGGGAGGAATGAGTAGCCAGGGGTCAACAAGATAGAATGGATGGTAAGTAGAACTTTGGTGTTGGGAATGGCGTGGTATCATACATTGAAGGGGGTGAAGGTGTACTCCTAAAACATACAGTGCTGTAAACCAATCTTACCTAAATAAAAACATAGCATTTCAACATGTAAGACATTCTTATGTTTAACATTCCATTTTCATGTAACTCTTAGAAATTCATACATGTTCTTCATTGACAGCACGCTTGGATTTGAACGAGCCATGTTCCAAGTGCCCAGCAGCACGTGTGCTAGCGGCCACAAAGTCAGGTGCTATGATCTAGTTTCTCCCTAGCGACAACAGAGGAGAAGCACTGAGGACAAAATGTGCTTTGGGTCCTCACTCTTTGGCTTCATAAGAAAGTCTGCTGTGGGGCCTCCCCTGGTGGCCCAGCGGGTTGAGCCTGGGCTGCAAAGCTGCCCGCAGCCTCTACAGTGCCGGTTTGCTCCCTGGCCAGATGGCGAGGGTCCCACATGGCACGCAGACCTCTCCTGCCACCCGCTGCTCCCCTCAGCAGTGTATTTGGTCAGTCAGTGTACCTGTTCTGTTCCCCGCTCTGGCTCTGGTGAATTCTCTCACCCTCCCGTGCTTCTGACTGTACCCAGTGCTTGTATAAATAGATCTTAAAAAAAAAAAAAAGTTTAAAAAAAAAAAAGAAAAGTCTGCTGTGGTGCCCAGCACCCCGCGCCAGGTATGGTAAGTGAGAGAGAAGGTCTCACTCTCCTAAGGCCTGGATCACAAGTGTACCCTCCCTCCACTTAAATAGGGATTGAGAGGAGAAAGAGGTGGAGCTCCTGAAGTAGGAGCTTAGGCCCCCATCTCCAGGCACAGACAAGGAAGACTGTCACTTGCTGCCCCCTGCTGGGAACAGGGCAGGGGACTAGCAAATTTGTGGAGTTGAAGGATGAGTCCCACAACCTGGGACAAAGGCTTGGATTTCCTGGGGGAAGGTATGTGTGGGGTTTCTAGATGGGGGCTAACTTTCGGACCCCTGCACACCCTTACAGTGCCCTGCAACTCCAGGAGAGGACAGATTAGCCCTGTGGAGTATGCCCAAAGCTCTATGCCACCCCCCACGCCCTTAAACTCTAGCTTCCCAACCCTGGGTAGCACACAGCAACCCTCTTCTGAAGGATCCACATGCTTACAGCCAGAGCAGAGATGCAGAGAAACATTGCCCGGGACACTGTGCCACAAGGCCCTTCAGGATCCAACCACCCCATGTCCACCCCTGGTTTCTGGACCCCCAAACAACCCACCCTTCAGACTAGGGAACTATGGAGATTGGGGCAATGGTATGAGTGCTCTCCCCAGCAAGCCCTCCTCCCTCCTTGCCACAGACTGTAATAGAGTAAGGTGGGCACTGGAGGGGTGTGTGTGTGTGTGTACACAAGGAGGATTCTTTGATATTCCTAGGAAGAAAACTCCTTTCAGCTGTCTTTTCTCCTGGCTTAGATAAGCACAGACTTCACAGTTGGAGGGGAGGGGTGTCCTTATAAATACAACCCTTATTCCTGTTGCAAGCCCGGGTAAGTTTTTGAAAAATATCAGACTGAACATCCTAAAGTGACTTGGGAGCCATCCACTTCTGTTGGGGCTGATTTCTGTTTCCCTGCAAAACTGGAAGAGACATTTCCCCGAGACATCATTGACATTGAATCTATTTCAATGTCAGAGCTCTAAGCTTGCATGTGAGAAGTACAAACCACTTTTGGGAGATCACACAAACCCTGCCTGGGGGCTCAGGGAAGATAGGCCTGACCTCTCTGATCCACCAGTGGAGCACCAACTTGCAGGCAGCCACTGGGCTACTCAAAGGGACCCGCTGGGGCAAAAGTTCAGGCTCCCTCACCATCTCTGGGGAGATAACCTGTGGTGAAGACAGCAGGAAATACCTGCCTGGAAGCCCAGAGATGCTCTGGAAGGTGCTCCGCAGAGAGCCTGGCATCTGAAGGGTCCTGTGATTATGATCATGTGCAGAAATTACAGGTCATATTCCATGCTGGATGGGGGAAGAACCCCAGAGACGCAAGTTCTTTCTTACCTTTGAATCTCTTCAGGTAACTTGCCAGGTTTTTATGTCTTGATTGTGCATCACTGAGTTTTCTCTCCAGGTGAGAAGGAACAGGGGTTGGACTGAGAAAGGGAAATCCTTCACTCCTGGGAAGATATGACTGTGTGGATGATGGGAAGAGGGATGGTGGGGAGAAAGAACCATGACAAGAGCTGGGGAGAAGGTGATGAGTCCTGGGGTGGGGAGGCAGTCAGGGGACAGCGAGCTGGGAATCTGGAGGCCAGAACTAGGGTTCTAGGATGGAGTGAGGTAGGCACAGGGAGATATGCAAATGAAGACAGGAGATAAGACAGACAGGAGGAGAGGAGAGAAAGGGGGCAGAGGAAGGGGCCAGCAGTGGTGGGCCCAGGAGCCCCAAAGTTTCAAGGAAACAAGAGAATCTGCACTGAAGAAATAGGAACCTCTAGAAAATAGCTCTTCTCTTTAACAACCAACCTACTTGCTAATTTGCTCAGCGTTGGCCTTTCCTACCTGAAGCTTCAGCACCTGACTGCAAAGGTAGAATGTGTGGGTATTTGTGAGGGAGGAATGTTGAGTGTATTTGCATATATGTTGAACTTTGTAGGGTAATGAATCAGTAGGTAAAAGGCATTTGGGACGGTCCATCATACCTGCACAGGATAACTTTGATGTTCTGGAAGAGAAAGAGAAACCAAAGCTTTAGTGCATGGTTGATGCACTGGAGCCAAGGAGGAAATGCAGGTGGAGCAGGGCAGGTGCAGTGAGAACACCTTGAAATCATTCTTTCTTCCCACCTGCCACAACGGGCTCCTCCAAAAAGTGTCCAATATACCAGGAGGCAGGAAAATGGCTAGACCTCAAGAGGAACTGAGTGATGAGGACGGGAAGAGGAGTGAGATTTTGGAGATGAATTTTGTCTTTGGGCCTAAACTAGAAACAGGAGAGGTAGGAAAGCAGAGGGGCTGGAATGACTTTCCATGATTGGATTTCTGAGAGTTCAAATGGATTTCTGAACTAGCAAGAGTGGGAAATAAATTCAGGAGGGACCTCAGCTTATTGGGGGCATTGCCTAGACCCATGCTGTCCAATATGGTAGCCACCAGATCCCTGCGAAATACGATGAGTATGAGAAGGAAGGAAATTTTTAATTTTATTGCATTCTCACTAATTAAAATTAAAATTTAAAACCAGAAGCAGGGCAAAACAGTTTTTCCTTTAAATAGACTATATTGATTTGGTAGGACTACGTTTTACTCCAACCATTGAAAATTTAGCATCTTTGAACTGAGGTCTGCTGTTGCAAAAAATACACATGGATTTCACAGGCAGTACTGAAAAATGAGACTAAAACATTTCACTAATATGTAAGAGATATTGGATAACAGGTTGAAACGATAATGTTTATATACATTGGGTTATATAAAATATTTTGTATATTTTACAAACAGGTGAAATTTTTCACCTGTTTCTTTTTATATTTTTTAATGTGACTTGCAGAAAAAAGTTTAAATGACATATGTGGCTTGCAATATAATTCTAAATTACCTATGTGGCCCTCATATTTCTCAATTATGTTTATTGCTCTCCTGGAGTACTGATTATATTTCTATTGGACAGAACTGGGCTGGGGTTAGGATGGGCAAGGCCAGGTGATCTGCTGGGAAGTCCCTGCTCTGACTCACCACCAGGGCTGGGCTGCTTTTTTCAGCTTGGTCCTGAAGGACTTACCTTGAGCATCTCTTTGTGTGTGAAATGCTGCCTCTCCATCAGGGAATCAATCTGCAACTTGAGAGAGTTCAGCTGAGTCTCAGAGGCAGTGACATAGACATTCTTCCCGCTTGCTCCCTCCTGAGCCAGCCAGTTTATCCTTGACAGGAGGAAATTCTCCTCTTCCTGTAGGGTCTGATACAGCTGCTGGAATTCTCTGGTGATCTTTTGCTTCTCAAGTTCCACCTTGGCCTGGGGGCAGGAAAAATACCCAGAAGATGAGCGTTGACCTCCAAGGTCCTTCTAGCCCATTTTATTTCATTTTTCAATTGCATTAAGTTTGTACTGAGCGGACCTCCCCGGTGGCACAGCGGTTGAGTGCTGGGTTGTGAAACTGTCCGCAGCCTCTGCAGCGCCGGTTCGTTCCCCGGCACACGGGTGAGGGTCCCACATGGCGCGCAGACTTCTGCCGCCCGCTGCTCCCCTCAGCAGTGTACTTCGGTCCTTCTGCCTGTTCTGCTCCCCGCTCTGGCTCTGGTGAATTCTCTCACCCTCCCGCGCTTCTGACTGTACCCAGTGCTTATATAAATAAAATAAATAAATCTTTAAAAAAAAAATAAAATAAAATAAATGTTTAAAAAAAAAAGTTTGTACTGAGCACTAATGCGGAACAGTGTATTCTGTGGACAATCTGGAGGAAAGGGACAGTGAGGAACATGAACTTGTTAAAGGACTTAATATGAGCTCAGGTTTAGTTTTAGGTTATTTCTGTTTTATAATTTTTACCTTCAAGCTCCTCAGTATCTAAAAACTGACTACCTAAGTATCTAGTACACACCACATTTCTGAGAACGCTTTTAGTTTATGATCTGGCTCACATGGATTTTTCTCTCTCTCTCTCTCTCTCTCTCTCTCTCTCTCTCTCTCTCTCTCTCACACACACACACACACACACACACACACACACACACACAGAGTACCAGCAGATACTGGTGATGGAAACTAAGAGCAGGAAATCTAGGACTAGGCAGAACTAACCTCTGACCACTGAACTGTATTCCCTCTTTAGGATTTACCATTAACTGGCTGCAGTTGCATTCCATGATGAAATTCTCTGTCCCCCTTGGGTTGGTAGTGGCATCAGAGAGATCTGGTTGCTGAAGGGATTACCCAGCTGGGAAAGACAAACACCTGCACTGCCTGCCTCTTGGACTAGCCCTCTGTGGAGAGCGGGATGGTTAACAAGTCCTTGTGCTATGGAAAACTTATCAGCACAGACCAGCGGTGGGGATGGAGACATCAGTCATTACAAAGAAACCCCTGTCCTTAGAGATTAACCCAACCAGATCTTAAAAGCGATAGCTTTCACAATAGGCAAAATTCCACAAAGGAATGAATCTCTCCAAAGAATGCGATATAAAGAAGCCCCTTGCTCTGGTAAAACGCAGCTCTCTGCCTTCCTGTGTCTATGCAAGGGACTTTTTTTCTTTTCTTTCTCTTTTTCTGAATAAGGCTGTCCTTTTAAAATACAGCCTTTGTCCTCCCTGGTGGCGCAAGGGTTAAGACACAACCTATGAAGTTGTCCGCAACCACTGCAGCACCATTTGGATCCTAGCTGGCTGGGGAGAAACCCACACGGTGCAGCAGACCTCTCCTGTCTTGCCCGCTGGTCCCCTCAGCAGTGTATTTCCGTCAGTCTGCCTGTTCTGTTCCCCACTCTGTCTCCTGTGGATCCTCTCATGCCCTGCACCTCTGGCCTGTACTGCAGTTCTTACATGCATAAAAAAATAAATCTTTTTAAAATAAATAAATAAAATACAGCCTTTGCCTTTTTGTATTTATGCAAGTATATTTTCCTTAGTAAACTTGCTATGAGCTGCTGAATCAGAAACTGCCAAAATCTTTCAGAGGGAACCCACTCACTGAACCTCAAGATAGGAATGCCATCAGGTGAGTTTCTGTCTTCATTTCCTAACCAGGGAATGAATCCCAGTTAATAAGGGACGGTGTCTTAAAACTGGTATTTTGGATTCTAAGAGGCGCCCTAGTTTTCCTTAAGCTCCCTGTGTCTCCATGTGGAGGACATGGAAGCAGTCAACCTATTCCAAGAACCGGGTTCCCCCTGGGAGGTGCAGTGTGGAAGGGAAGCAAAAACACCCTGACCCACGATGCCAGATTCTTTCTGTCACTCCCAGGGACTCTCCTGGACACTCCATCCCATTCTGGAGCTGTTTCTTTGTTGCTGGGTCAGCATAAGAAGAGATTCTAGGGCCTCCCCGGTGGTGCAGCAGTTGAAAACTGGGCTGCGAAGCTGCCCGCAGCCTGTGCAGCACCAGCTCGATCCCCAGCCACTCTCAGCAGTGTATTTCGTCAGTCTGTCTGTTCTGTTCCCCGCTCTGGCTCTGGTGAATTCTCTCACCCTCCCATGCTTCTGACTGTGCCCAGTGCTTGTATAAATAAATAAATAAATAAATAAATAAATAATAAATAAATAAATAAATAATAAATAATAAATAAATCTTAAGAAAAAAAAAAGAAGAGAGTCTAGTATTTGTAGAGCTGTTTCTCCTTGTAAGATCATAGGACAGAGACACCACTGCCTGAATTTTCCTCACCATGAAGTCGTTGATCTTCTGTTCACCTTGTCGTTTTGCTTGTTTTATCACCATCTCCTTTTGCTTCAAGACCTCAACTTGCGATTGCAGCTTCTCCTGTGGGGAGAGAGTTGTTTTGGCAAACTGGGCCTGGACCCCCCTCAGCCCCACAACACCATCCTGCTCCCTCAGGATGCTGGTGAGGCTACCAGGGCAATGATTAATAGATCTCTTTTTGCTATTCAAGCTGGGAGATGGGGTGTACTTGGGGAAGGTGAAATCTGAACTAAAGTGACCTACAAGAGAGGAATATTGTCATAAATTATAGCTAATACATTATGACTAATATTTCGAAGGTGTTTTGGAATTATCAAATAACTCCCACAAACTCTCCCTCATTTGCCAACAACTTTTAAAATACACATTTTGCCCATTTGGAAGGTGAGGCACCTGAGGCTCAGAAGGGGAAACTGATTACTTGAAGGTCATTGTAGTGTCTGTGAGAAAACACAGAATCTTCGCAGAGTTTCTCAGACTGTTTTCCACCATGACAGGTGCCCCAGTAGATAACATTAGCTTTGGGATGTAGCTCGCATGTGAGGGGAGCAGTAAATAACATAGAACCTATGTACAGCTTGCATGCGGGAACACATATTTCTGTAAAGTAGGCTTGAGCTTGATCCTGTGCCAGCTTTGTTCCTAAATCATATAAAAGCTAATAGCACCCCTGGTGCTGGTAGGGGGAGGAGGCTCTCACTGGCCACACACTGAGGGCTGGGGCCACTGCTGTGACCAGAGCCCAGGCGGGCTGCTGCTGTTGCCGCCTGTGTATCTCCTGCTGCCTCATGGTAAAGACTCCTGCTCCTCACACGTGGGCTTCGTGACCTGCTTTCTCGTCTGCTGCCTGTGAGAATCCAGCAAGCTTGAGGCCCCACAGTCCCAAACCTCTGGCTCAGAACGCAGTGTCCTTTCCACTCTCCAGGATGCCTCAACTCAGACTCAGAGCTCTGAGCCCACAGTACCTGACTGCAAACCGCCTACTCAGTGCAAAGATGAGGTGATGCAGAGGGAGAAAGTGACAGTTTCCTGGTCTCCCGGGGAGACAGAGAACAGACCCTAAATGCCTACCTGATATCTTGGGGCAGCCTCTTCTATTAAAAGTACATTGTGGGATTTGTGCTCCTTGGATTCTCGACACAGCATACAAAGGAGCTTCCCATCAAGATCACAGAAGTAATGGAGTTTCTCCTCATGTTTCTCGCATCTGTCTTTTTCCTTTTCTGTTGGCATCTCAGAGGGATCCATAGCTTGGACTTTCTCCACCAGATTTACCAACAGCCAGTTGGGCTCGTAGTTCTTCCTCACAGATTTGCCACAGAGGGGACATTTGCAAAATTTGCTTGATGCTTCTTCTGCAACCTGAGAGATGCATCTGAGGCAGAAATTGTGCCCACAGTCCAGAGTGACAGGGTCCTGCAGAATATCAATACAGATGGGGCAGAGCAGTGCCTCCTTGAGTTCTTTGGTAAACTGTTGACTCGCCATGGCAGGCAGAGGGCTGCTTCAAGTCTGTTGAAATTCTAGAAGTCTCCTCTGGACACTGGTTCTAGGGAGGAGGATATGAAAGTCAAATATTCTACCAGTTAGAGAAGCAGGGAGGGAGGAAATTGGGGTGGGAGAGAGAGAGAGAGAATAGAACAGTGATTCGAATGTAAGAAATACTATAAAGAGAGGACGCAGATAGGCAATCCTACCTCACTCCTGGAGAACAAATGGATATTGTGAATGGATATATGCTGCTTATGAAGTAGGGTAAGTTGTCCTGAACCTTGAACTAATTAAGGATATGTTTATAAGGGATTTAAGTGAGATCAGAAGGGCCAGGGCACCAAAGTCCGCTCAGAGGTTCAGCTGGGGGGTTGGGTAGGGGCTGGGGATACTTCCTGAAAGCTCACAGCTAGAAGTGCTTTGGCATGTCTTGTAGGCAGAGCCCAAATCTTGGGAGGGGAAGGAGACGATTCTCTACCACAGGTACTTTGGCGCCATGCTTTGAAGAGTTTTGTGAAAATGTGGAAGTTATGGGGCCTCCCTGGTGGCCTAGGGGTGAAGCCTCAACATTATCACCACTATGGCCTGAGTTCTGAGTTCGATCCCCAGTCAGGGAGCTGACCCACATGGCGCAGCAGACCTCTCCTGTCTCACCCTCTGCTCCCCTCAGCAGTGTATTTCAGTAGATCTGCCTGTTCTGCTGCTCACTCTGTCTCTGGTGGATCCTCTCATCCCCCTATACCTCTAGCCTACACCCTAGTTCTTCAATGCTAAAAATATAAAATAAAGACTGCTCAGAGGAAAAGTGGTTTAAAAATTGTGGATGATATAATCACCACCTCGGGGAGTTGCCAGTTATACTGAGAAGGAGCCATTGCACGCTTACTGGGGATTGCTAGGACAGTGGGAGACACAGGAGTTTCCTCTCTGAAAGGACAATATCTCATTTTGTCCATTTTTCTTGACACTGCTGCATCTTACACTTGCCTGAAATACTGCTGACAGTCTGTCCTCTTGGATTTTCCCCCTTTATGAAATCAGTACCTTGGTGTCTACATGCTCATTCTCTGTCAGCTGGTGTTTCTTCCTACTTCTCTGACCCCGGAGTTGACTTCCCCTTGACTTTTGTCCTGACTAGGAAAATATCAAGCAGCATTACCTATGGTCCTTTCTGTAGCTCAACACATCTACCTTCCTCCTCCCTGCTTGTGTTAAAAGAGAAGTGTCCTGTTATAGGGCAGGGAGAGGGGCACCCCAGAACCCCCAAACCTGCTGGCTCTAAATAAGTTCTGCCACCCACCATATCAAGACAATACATATGAACCTTTAATGGAAAAGAACATTAATACAATGAGTGTGTGATACAGACAAGACAAAGAATATAGTTTCCAAATCAAGCACCCAAAGTTACCCATCCTCCCATGGGTAAAAGTCCATTCAAACGGGATTGGCTCAAAGCAAGGCCCGAAAGCCTGACACAAGTCTAAAGCACCTCCCATTGGGGACCCATAGAAAAGGGTCAGAAAGAAACAAGTCTGGGAGGAAAAGAGCATAATCAAAATCAAGATAAAAGCTGCCATTGTTGGGCCTCCCTGATGGTGCAGGACTTAAAGACAGTGCTATCAAGCTATCGCCAGCCACTGCAGCAGTAGTTCAATCCAGTCACTGCAGCACGGGTTCGATCCTACCTGGCCAGGGAGCAACACACATGACACAGTAGACCTCTCCTGCCTCATCCACTGCTCCACTCAGCTGTGTATTTCAGTAGATCTGCCTGTTCTGCTCCCCACTTTCTCTGGTGAATCCCCTCCCACCCTGCACCTCTGGCTTACACCCCAGTTCTTGTATGCATGAATAAATGAATCTTTAAAAAAACAAAGCTGCCATTGTTAACCTCCCCACGGGTCTCTCACCCACATCTGTTTCAACCAGTGCAGGACTTACATGCAAATGCAGCTTCTTCACATGTCTCTCTGCCCCATGTGCCTCCTCCAGGGCTCCTTCTGGCTCCCCATCTCGCTTCCTTCCTTCTCAGTCTCCTCTCCAGCTTCTTCTCCTTCCTGCTCAGCTCCACCATCCCTTGGGTGGGGCAGGGAACCTGGAACCTCCCCTTTTCCTGGGGACCACCTGTTACATTTCCTGTCTTCCCATTTCATCTGGATCTCACTTCCACCCTTACCTCCCCTGGCTCTAGTACCTGACATCTGACACCAACAAGCAGACCATTAATTTTATCTGAACTTAATCTTAGGCCAAACAGGGATTCTAGGTAATTGTATGATTATAGTCAGAGTAATCACACATGCTGGTTTTCCTGGGACAGTCCCTGTTTTACCTTTGTCCTGGTGTGTAATAGCATATCCTTTCATCTCAAAAGTGTCCAGTTTGGATAACAAATTATATGAGTATTGTACTATGATATTGTGATTTGTAGACTGAAATATATTTCTCAAATATATCTGGTCTTTATCCACAATTCTGGCTCATGGCTCCCTTTGGAATTTCTTAAGTGTGGAGAGTGTTAAAGGTGTCTCCTGTTACATTAGTGAAGGTAACTTTTGGAAAATACCTGAGTATACAAGACGGTTACTAGAGAAACCAACCTGAATAGAAATTGGAACTTCCTGTACCACCACCCTGGCCTTCAGGGAGAAGAGGGGACCCAGAGATTGAGTTTGGTTGCTGATAGCCAATGAGTAACTCAGCCTTGCCTATGTAATGAAGCCTCATATAAGTCTAAGAGGCGGTCTTCAGAGAGCTTCCCAGTTGGTGAAGTTGTGAAGATTTGGGGGAAGAGCGGCACACATGGAGGGGGGCATGGAAGCTCAGTGCCTTTCTCCCACACCTGTCCTGTGCACCTCTTCCAATGGGTCATTGATTTGTACCTTTTTTTTTTTTTAAAGATTTATTTATTTATGCATACAAGAGCTGGGGATAGGCCAGAGGTATGGGGATGAACGGATTCACCAGAGACAGAGTGGGGAACAGAACAGGCAGACTGACTGAAATACACTGCTGAGGGGAGCAGCGGGCAAGTCAAGAGAGGTCTGCTGCAGCATGTGGGTAGCTCCCTGGCCGGGGATCAAACTTGTGCTGCAGAGGCTGCAGATAGCTTCATAGGTTGCATCTTAACCCCTTGAGCCACCAGGGAGGCCCCTGATTTGTACCTTTAATATCCTGTTGGAGACACCGCCCCCTCCAAACCTGCAGTTCTGAGACAGAAGGGTCATTGAGGTGGTGACTGGAACGCAGGTCAGCATGGGCTGGAAAGCTGGCCTGTGTACAGATTATGATGTCCTTCCTTGGATCAGCAAAACTGAGCGTGAGAGAAGAACAATTTGATTATGCAGAACCTTGGCAATGAATGTGTGTCAGAACAATACCGAATACCCAGAAACAAGAAAATGAATCATGGTTCTGTAGTTCTGTTTATCCTGTATCCTACTTTGTAATCACACTGTGCTTTCTTGTACCTGCTAACAAGTCTGTGGTGTGCTGAGGAGAGCAGAGCAGATCTTGAATCTCTCCCAGCTGCCCTCCCAAACTTCTCAAGACCCATGCCCTGTCCTTTTGCCTGGGCTATCTGTGACAAGTGGCGCCCAAACAGGAACTTGAACCCTGGACCCGCAGATTGGATTTGGGTCTCAGTAAGTAGTTGGGCAATCCTGGGGCAGATTTTAGGTTGAGACTGGCTGCGAAGGGAATTCTAAGGTTGAGAAACAAACAGGGCAGAAATGAGAAGTGAAAACGTTTAAACAGCCTGGTAAAAGGCCCACAGACTCAAAGTCTGCGGCATTTTCAATTCAGTATTTCCTATCTTCTTTTTCTTCCAAATCAGCCTGGTTATAGGCCCCACAGACCCAGTGTCTGCAACAAAGCACTAAAAAGCTGTTTTTAGTTGTGACTTTCCTTTCTCTCTTAGAAACAAGGGTAATAATATCACCTCCCTTCAGAAAAATTATAAAGAACAACTTAGAGCTCCTCCACTAACCCAGGTATATGATGTGTCTGATAAAGAACTCTCTCTTTATAAAGACAACTTGTCTCTTTTTAAAGATAATTAAAACCTCTTGTACAGAATTCCTCAAGAAAAAAATCTTAAATTTAAAAATTTGGGAAAATTCAAGAAGACACTTACGAAGAGACTTAGAGGCAACCCTGTCTCTCATTTTAAATCATGGAATTTAAGTAATTCAGCTATTCAGTCACTAGATGAAAAAGTTTTTAATCCAAAAGAGCCAGGCCATGACCCAGCCAGTTGCTTGTCCTCCTCCCCTTCCTGTGCCACCACTACAGCAGGGGTGCAGCCGAGACCCAAAAGCGAGATAACTATCTCCAACAGATTTTGAGCCACTCATAAAACAATATTTCATGAAAAACAATCAAAGGGAGAAATGCTTCAAGCTTTTCCGGTTATCTGAGGAGGAGGCCAGGGTCCCCAACACTAGGGTTTTGCCATTTGCTGTTTTTAAGAAATTTAAAGTATTTCTAAAAATGATAATCAAAGTTCATTTACAAAAATTTTGTTAAGGTTATCGGATGTGGGTATAATAGGACTACATGAGACCCAAAGAATCTTCTCACAACAGTACCAACCCACTGGGGCAGGCTGGTAGGGGACTGCCCCTGGTCTCAACAAGCAGCTACCTGGACCTTGGCTCCAGCATTAGAATCATTGACATGTCTCTTCTGCCTTCCAGCTGTGATAAACTGGACTCTCCTTTTGTCCACCTTGAGATACTATTTTGGGCTGTTCTATAGGTAAAAAATTCCATTTCCCTGTGTTTCCTACAAAATGCTTATTGGTTAAGTAAAAACTTCTAAATTGCTTATTGGGCCTGTAAAAAGTAAAGTTTCTTGTTAAGCTAATTAACATGGTAAAAAATAAAAAGTAAAAATACAACTTTCTGAGCTAAATTCCAAACCTCAGATTTTAATAAAAGTCTAAAAACAAACAAGCTGTAAGATCTTAATCTACCTCTTCTCCTGTCATCAGA